TCTAGTAACATGTCGTGACTTAAACATAAGAACATATTATGGCTAAGGCTACAGTTATACACGTCGTAATAATAACATTAAACACCCTGTCTGCTGACAGTCATCAACTCTTCTCTCTGGTATTCTTGACCAGAAATACCCTGCAGAAACTCATAAGCATGCCTAAGCATTTAACAGTCTAACTAGACATCCTATCTCCACTAAACATTTCTAATACATAAAGTATCTATCCAATATCTATCTGGCTAAAAATACCTAACACCTCCAAGATCAAGGTTCATCAGTGTCCAATCACACCATATCTGGCTTTCTGAATGAATGGGTGCTCTAAGGATGAATACCCAAATAGAAATAGAGCAAAATAAAAACCAAAAAATTTGACCTTTTTGTAAACCACATCAGTGCTGTGCTCACAGAACCAAAAAAATCTTTCAAAGAAAAAACCACTATCTTCACTTTGAAACATGGAGGGAACTCAGTTATGGAGCTGATTTGTGAAGGGCAAAATGAAATCAGAAGATTATCCTGGAAAGAAACATACTGCTCTGTGTCAGTCACAGCTCTGAACAGCCTGACCTGATCGTAACAAGGCGTCAGAACTGAAAATAGGTGTCAGACCTGACAATCTATAATTTTATGCTGTATAGTGTGACTGATGCTACATCTTGGACGTCTGACAATGTCTCGACAAAGTGTAACATGCCATAACTTTTCTTTTTACTTCCATGACATGTTGGAGAGACACTGAGTAATATAAAAACACAGACCACTCTTCTGTTCACAATACCTTTGGCATGTTGGACAGCTATCATTAGCATATCGACTTTCACAGTCTGCCTTGTGAGGTAGCTACAGGGCTTGTTAGACTGTGGTTCTACCAGGTTAAAACACTTTAACCACTACCTCAAATTCTCTGCCGAGGACAGTGTCTCTGTGCGACCCACAAATGGGTCCACAGGCTGTCATCTATCAGATCGTCTGTCATATCTGTCATCCAAGACATGGCAAGAATTTATGACTATAATTGTGCAATCTGCCATAGTGACCATCTTATCAGACAAACAAACAAATATGTATTATGTAGTGTGAACCAAGCAAAAACATACCAGCTTTCTGAAGAGGCTGCTAGGGGTCCTGATCTTAATCCAGCTAAACATCTATACGAAAGAGCCAAAACTCGTGGTTTTGGAGAAGGAGCCTGTTAAACCTTAGACAGTTTGCTAAAGAAATGTACAGGTTTCATTAAGAGCTACTTAAAAAGCATGAGAGGCAGTGATCGTCTCAAAAGCATGTGCTATAAAATATTGGGTTAAGACTCCTAAAATATGCCTCTCTTTTTTAGGTGGAAAGGTACTAACACTTTTAGCCACATCTGAATGTATCAAACAGAGCTACAGTACCTCCTGTACAGTATCTACCAAGTAATAGTTTTGTTATTGTGATAGGACACATTTTTGTTCAGAACAGTGGTTCACAAAGTAATCTCAGTGACTAATGGGACTAGCAACACTAGTTCAGAGCACATCATACAGGATCAATTTAGAAAGAGCTTTAGTTGCCAGTTATCATTTGATGAAGAGTCCAGTTTGCCAGTGTGACCTTGTAGTGACCTGTTGATAACACACTGAGACCTACAGATACAGAGCTAATTTATATGGTGTTACAGTAAGTAGATTAGTCCTGGAATAGTGCATGAATGGCAGCCTGAAACTTTAAATTTACCAAGTCTGCAAATTGCTTCTGTTAACTGACATTAGAGAAAAGCTTTAATTTTAAGATTCATACTAGAAATTCCTTTATCAACAAAGGTGTGACACATTTCCCCTAAAGGATGCATCAATTAAAACTACATTGTTTTTTGTATTTTTGTGTCACAACTATCATCAAAATGTCCCCCACAGTGCACTGCTGCAGTTCTTGTTGCTGTTGGCCACTGTCAAACTAAAAAGTGGACTGTCCTTCGAGTACTTTGGCGTCTGGACGTTGTTATCTAAGGTGGGTGTTTAACAGTACAGTGAGGCCCACAACTGTGAGATCCATGAAAATCTGACATTTTCATGTAAACCTGGAAATAATCAAAGTTTAAGGATTTAGAAACATTTAAGTTGAAATGTAAAATATTTAAAGGTCATATATGATTTTTAGGTCGCAATCAAATTTATGGCATTGACCATGTTAATTCCTTGGTACAAAAGGTCAGATTTAGAGTTTTATCTTGTTAAGATGACAGTTGGGAGGATCTGATCCACAACAAAATAACAAAATGGTGCTGCATCCAAAGTCCAATCAATTGTTCTGTGGCCCATAAAGTACCTCTCCACGAAGTTTCACCCAAATCCATTCATTACCTTTTGAGTTATGCTGTTAACAAAGAAACCAACAAACGTGGGCAAAAACATAACCCCACCCTCGGCGGGGGTCATCATGTCAAACTGTTGGACCCCACTGTATACACCTCTTATATTCTTTGTCATATTGAGTGATGACACTATCTTAAGGTAAAATCTGATTCTACTTCACAGAATCAGAAGAATGCACTGTGTAATTACATTTCAAAGTTATCACCAAAAGCTTAAAATAATTAGCAACATCAGGACTGTAGCAAGAAAGGTGCTGCTTCTTTATTTCAAATCACTTTTACCTAAAAGATAAAAATGGAGGTATCTATATCTCGTCCTTTCTTCCAAGGTCACTACAATGTCCCTCAGCCCGTTTATTTTCAACATGGTCACTAATGCTCCCTCTCTTATTTGGTAAGTATCTTTCAAGTTATTTATTACTGCTCTGCTATTTCATCTTTGTAGAACTGAGGGAAGGAATGAACATGTTTTACATGAAACATTTCTGAAACGGTGTGAAGCCGGCTCATTATTAAACTATTACTGATGTTTCCTTCTTATTCTGATGGTTTTCAGTGTGGTTGTCAGTCATGTTGGAGAGGCACTGCTCGTCTATGCTGAAAGAGAAACTCAACTGTAATTTAACACAACAGCTCTACAGATGAACCCACAACTTGCACTTTTTCTTAGAAAGTTCAGATCATTCTTCCTATGTGCGTTGATAATTTGCCGACCAAATAAAATTATATTTTTGTGCGTACTGTGTATTTTTTATTGGACTCTAACCCCACTAAAACAGAACTGTGAATTTCATCTTAAAACACTAATACAAAGTATTAAAGCCATTTGCAAACAATACTTCAGTTTATTTCTATATAATTTAATAAATCCCAGTGACAGTTCTGATCATTTACAACCCTCCACATACATGTAATTAATCTTTATCTTAGACATATCCCAAGCATAATCAAAGCCAAATGTTTACAAATAGCATGTTACAATTACAGACAAACCTTATTAGAAGGCTGTTGTGTTAAAAGAGCTTCATTGTACCCCTCAGAGCCATTTTACCACAGGAACTAACCCGTTCTTCATACAGTTGGTGAATTCAAACAGAGAAACCTTCTAGCTCTGCTGCTGGTTTCGCTTCGGGGAGAATAAAGCGTTGAATGGTTGTTTTCTTCGTGAACGTGCCTGAGGATTATTGTCTTCCTTGATATAACCTAGAAACAATGACATCTCAATGTACGAGATGCTATTTTTGCTTATTCTAAACATATTTTCATGTTTTTAAGACAATGTGGTATTTGCTATGATAATACAAAAGACAGTGTGTGTAGAATTGGGTCAAAATTCTCTGCTTATGTTTTACCAGCACAGTTTAATGGAGGATTTAGGGAAAAATGGTTACATTACCTCTTTCAATGCATGTTTGTGTTGATGGGAAACCAACTTCCCAAAAGTTTTCAGGAGTACAAGGAGGAATGTAAAGAAAACGGTGCCTGGAGCATGCAGACAACTTCTTTTGTTTTTCCTGTTCTGGGAGATGAGCATAATACTGCAGGAAAAAAAACTAAAATCAGCTCAGTGTTAAAGTCTGTCTTATTTAGCTCCATTTTCAAACTACTTACAGTCTCACACTCCTTGCAGGTAGTGCCCTTCAGCCGCCTTCTCTCGTCTTTTTTGCGAACTACCACCACATGTGCAAATGGTTGTCTGATCCAGTCAGAGAAAATGAGGTTGAGAAGCTGGAAAAATTCTGAGCCTGGACTCTTAACAAAAACTTTTTTTTTTCCTGTCTCTGTTAACATTCATATTCATATTCATTCAATATAAATCAAGTATAAAATATCCAAGAAGTATGTGTTAATCATGGTGCCCAAAAGCCCAGTAAGAGCATCCTAAAACCACAACGACACTGTGTATGGCAGAAGGCTTACCGTGCTTTGCTCCGACCTGAAGCATTTTCAGGGGGACCCTCTAATTTGGGAGTCAAACATGAGTAGATTTCAAGGGCTGATAGGCAGAAACCTGGGTCAAATTACAAAACAAATGCTCTTAATCTAAAACCTTACCTTTGCCCTCTTCTTCATCATCACAGCCCTCTCTCTGGCTTTCCTGTGCAGAGTTGCAAGCTTTGTACTCGCCATAAGCTGTCGTGTCAAACATCAT